TAATAGAGCAATTTCATTAATGAATTCGTTTTTTTCTTCAACAGCAAAAACACCTAGAAGAATTACCTTGTCTGGTTCGTAATTTAAAATTTATTGGACAATGTTGAGGAAATGAAATTTTCTCAAAAAACTGTCTAAAGACTCGATGCAAATTATTTGAGTCTCAGCAAGTAACTTTATTTTATAGTCACTGTTTTGCGATTTTGTAACAAAGGATATGAGGATATAATAGAACGCCTGTTAGCCGAAGCTCCATTATTTGAATGAATCCATTAGCCGGATGCTGTATTATTCGAATGTTTGCGTAATATTTACTTTTAAAGAATAGAAATGTATCCTTTTTATGTTGAAATGTTTGTTGGCATGTTTTAAACAAATTACATGAAAATTTACTCCGAATATTTGCATCATTTTATTAATTTGGTCGATTCTACTGTATCTATAAAAATTCTACTATTACATGTCAGGCCACATCCCTTTTTTTCATCGGAAAATCTTCGTCAGCGAGATTTAAACGATTCGTGAATGAGATTTGCATGAATATTCATAAAATACGTACGTAAGAAACATGCGCAGAATATTTTGCTCTGAGTCATTTTTCTCCTCATAGATAACATCGTTTCATGATATTTCTCAAGCAGAATAAGTCACGGTAACATCAAAATGAATGTGATTGATAAAAAAAAATGACTTTTAATATTCACTTCTTTTATATCTTTTAATAGCTATTTTGGAAACATTTTGATATCATGATGACTTTTTATTCTACTTGAATTTCTATTTCGAGCTGTATTACAACTTATCGCATGTTAACTAATTGTCAAAAGCGAAGAAATACTGTGAATACCATAGTAATGATATTATCTTCGTCGATTAGTACTGTCATTACGCATTACGTGTCGTTTCGTGTCGCATTGTAGTCATGCCAAGTCTGCAAAAGTGCGGTTTTCCGGGATCTGATCGCGCTGGGTCAAGGTTTTTCACGACACATTTCATTAATGTCACCGTTGGTTCGAAGACTCATAATGATATTACTAAAGCGATTATTAATGAGATTTCTCGCCGTCATTTGATTGAATGCAAAGCCAGCTTCGTCTCGCAGGGAGCTCAGATTGACGCGCAGGATGTTAATTAATCGCGTGAAGGCAGTATTAATACAATGAGATTGTCGGGCAGTGACCCATTTGCGAACAGCAGATTATAGTCTGCTGTCACTTAACAGGCGTTAAGGTAATTAGTCTCGAGATTTGTAATTAACAACTTTCAATTGACGATCCATTGTCTGATTCAATTTACTTTGAAAAAAATATTAAATTCTTTCTTGAGTATATATTTATATACTCAAATAAAGTGTTCTCATTAAACCAAAAGAGTCAAACAGAAATGATATTTTAATGAAGACAAATAGAATTTCTGAAAAATACAAGAATCATGAATTCTGTTCGGTTTCATCAAAATGCTATTCATGGGCCCTTTTATTGATTTAATCAGAACATTTTTTTCCAATATAAATTTAGATTTTGCATTTTAATATCTCTGTTCGTGCTGCATAGAAAGCAAATCTAAAACACTTTTTTCTTTGCAATAACTATTGAGATTTGATAATTATATCTTGATTTAACTAGGGATCAGTGTATAGACACATAATCTGTCTTGTGGCTGCCGTGCATACATGTAGCATAAAACATGATCGTATCTCTTGATCTTATCTTTCAATAAGATGCGATTTATATTTCAATTTGCATTTTTATCTTGGATTTCCCGGATTTGCATATTTATTATCTAATTTTGTATTTATAAAATAAACAAATTGTATTTCCCTTGTTGGTCGTCGCGATTAAAAGTTAACAATGAAAAGTCGATGGATAAAATCCGAAAACTTAGACTTTATTTATTTTCCAGAAACTTAGACCGATATTCATAGTCCGATCTTAATATATATATATATATATCTTCAGAAAATCGTATTTCCTGATAATCAATCTTGTTCAATTTACAGAATTCTTTATCAGGAGCATTTTTAAAGATCGTATTATGAAAAAAAAATTTTACTCGAACGGAATCAGTTTTAAAAGGTTAAAACTTAAGATCTTGAAATAAGAACGGGTTACCTGTACTAGTTTATGATATTGATTTATGACATCTTAAGACTGTACTTAAGACGGTCTTATATAAGAACCAATGATATTTAAGACTGTGATATTTAAGATTGACGGATTACTCATAATCCGTTCTTATTTCAAGATTTTAAATTTTAACCTTTTAAAACCCAGACACTGATTCCATTCGAGTAAAATTTTTTCTTCATAATATGACCTTTAAAAATATTCTTGATGAAAAATTTTATAAATTGAACAAGATTGATCATCAAGAAATACAAAAAATTTTCTGAAGAAATACATATAATTATAATAAGATCGAATTATAATGAATACCTCTCTTAGAATTGAACTTATAGTTAAAACAAAGAAACATTGATACTTCTAGCATTTTATAAAGCTTTCTTAGAAAAAAATTTTTTATGTACTGAGATATACAACCAAATCCAATTTTCGCTCTTACTTTTGTTGTATTCTAATTGTACTAATTTGATAACCACATCGGTTACGACGATCGGTTACGTTATCTTTTCTTAGACCAAATGTGAAATATATGTATTATGTAAGTAACCGCGACACATAATAATTTAGATTTTGTGGGAACGAAGAAATAGACACGAATAAGACACGAATAAGACTCTTAGGGATGATGAAATAACTGGCAATTCAATAATATCTTACATCCTGCAATTTTCTTAATGTTCTGTAGTTTCACCTGAATCTGTAGAACTTATATTCGCAAATGAGTTTAAAATTCGTATTATAAAGAAAAAAATTTACTCGAACGGATTCAGTGATTTAAAAGGTTAAAACTTAAGATCTTGAAATAAGAACGGAGCATCCATTACCATCTCTTTTTTTCTATAAAAAGTCAAAAACATACAAATTTATAAAAAAAAAATAGTATGAACTTAGCCTCGAAATATTATAAATTTTAATTTATGTAAGCGGATGTAAATTTATTATATTATGCTTAAGAAATATTCAATAGCTGTTCGCTTTTAATTTTTTTGCCATTTTTATTGATATTTTATGCATAAAATTTTTTTTTGTTCTTCATAGATAAATAATTAAAGATAAATAAAATTAATTAATAATCTTTCTTAATTAATTTTTATTGAAATAACAATCATTATAAAAAGACTCGATAAATTCAAAATATATGTAAAATCGAGGGCTGAATGAATACTTTTGATTCAATCGAATAACGAATCAATAACGCTGATTCTTATGTGTTAATTTTTATTGATTAATTAATAAAAAAATGTTATTGTTACATTTATATATACATTTATATATATATGATTGAGAAAATAATCTTATTTTTAGAATGAAAGCTAGTAATGATAGATAATTAGAAAAGTGGATAATATAACTAATATTCATAGTTAATGATTACGGATAATAATAACTGTATTCATAATTAATGATTATGTTATGATCACGTAAGAATGAATTTCATTATACGTAGATTATAGATTTATTTCAACATATAAAATTTTGATATAACCTACTTTTACATGAAACAAGAGATAGTAGAAGTTTATTTATCATATTATTAGTCTCGTTGTTATTTAATTTGATAAAGAGTTTGAGATTTGATAAGATACGACAAAACTGTAGCTGAATATATTGATCTTACAGAAATTCGCGAAATTATGACATTGACGCGTTTTCCTTGTTACAAGGGAAAACCTCTTGGGAAGGGGGGAGTAGGGGTTCCCCTGAAAACCAATTTAGATGCAGCGCTGATACCTTGGATTTTACTTTTTAATTCTTTAGATCCGGTCACTTCAAGGTTGACACGTTTAAGTATGTTCACATCAGGAAGTCATATGTGCAGCTTGGCGTGAAGTCACCGTGAAAGTCGGTGAACTACATTTTAAGTAATAAATTTTCAGGCTCAATTTGTTTTCATTTGCATATTATTAGCGCTGAGTTCCTTCTATATGTCTTGAATATTTGCATCAAAACTGTAATCTAATATAAATGCAATATGAATAAGATCTGTCGGCCCCGATCATAGTACACTGAACTGACTAGATTTATGAATACTAATTAAGAAAATTTCAGAGCGAATAATCAATTAAGGTTAAAAAAGAGTTATTCGCAATTAACATAAATTACAATTTTTTTTTAATGAAAGAAGTAATAACAGCATTTTAGCGAAAAAAATCTTGCGAATACTAATATATCTTATACAATGTTTTACATAATTAAAGTCTTTATACGGAAAAGATGCTTAGTAAGTGCTACATTCCTTTAATTATTTACTATTGAACAAAGTTCCATAAGTCAAGGCCAATTGCATATGCAATTTTTTATTTATAAAAATCTTTTCGTTTATTTACATAAGTAGTGATAAAATTCCTTACCTCACGTGTGTATCTTTTACAAATAATTTGGCTGTTAATTTTAGAAAATTAATATTTTTTTAAATTTATATTTTAGATACTTACAGATGATACTCACTTTTAGATAAAGATCTAAATCACTTTATATTAATTTTAAAATTAACAAAAATAGATAAAATGGCTCAATAAATTGAAAATAAAAAAAAGAAGATCTACGATCCAATGAACAATTTTCAACATACGTTTATTATAACAAACCTCTTTATCGAGTCACTGAGAATGATTCGATAAAGAGGTCGAAACATTTGTTACAATAAACATATATTGAAAATGTTCAATAACTCGTAGCTCTTCTTAAATACTTTCTTTATTTAAAATTATAATCGGAAGAATGATTGTTTAATGACGTAATAATGTTCTTCCCATCTGAAAAAGAACTTGTAGTGTTGTATCGGGATTAAAAGAAAGATAATTTTTATCCGGGATATCCCGCAAGTCAGTGAAAATTAAATGTAAAATTAAATATGAAATTTATAAAAGAACAAACCTTTTTCCGTTCTCCACGTGCTCGGAAACTGCCATTTCGATCGGACCCGCTCGTCGTTCAGTTTTCTCGTCTTCACACATGCCGACTTTCTTGCATATCGAAGGACGATGTAAGCGATATGATGAGGATGGCCTTCTTTCAAAGCAAAATAATATACAATCAGATTCTTGCGCGATCGCGAAGATAATTATGATTTTCCATCATTTGTTCCTAACATACGATTGATTGAAATTTGCTTATGGGCTAATATATGTATATTATGCAGTGTTGTAATAAGTACTTTTTGAAAGATATCTAAGTACAGATACAGATGGGAAATACACTGTGAGAAAGTACTATTTTTATATACATCTTTTAAAAATTTAGTAGAGTTTGCGTTACAAGACCGAAAAATCATTTCGGCGCGCATTTTAAAGGACTGCATATGTAGTATATAAATTCACACAGAATTATACAAGTACTTAAGATCCAGCTAGACTATTTAAAGCATTGATTTCTATAGGTTTTGTTTTCACACAACATAATAATACGGTCCTATAAGATATTATATCTTTTAAAAATTATCCAAGTGCAGATACAGGTACAGATGTACCTAAAAGATTTAGTTATTTTTTAAAATATTGCTAATTAAAAAAAACTGCATAAACAAATTTTTTTATTTTACATCAAACTACTATGTACTTATATAGTACTTATAAAAATGTTTGGATAATTGTTATTTTGTTATGCGTTTTTAAAATCGATAATATTTTAAACACTATATTGCAAAATCGATTTCTTCTGGGGATTAAAATTAAGTTTATAATATAATGATAACAGATCAACGATATATATATATAAAGTTTAATCGGATCTATAATTGCATCTGTTTCTGTCTTTAGAGAAAGGAAAGATAGTACGGAACCTCAACGGTCATTGACGGTCACTTATGTAAATTTCCGGTTTCATTTTCAACCATTAAAAAATATGGGAATGTTTGATCTATGTATAAGTATATATTAAGAATGTGTGATCTCGATTCAATCTTCTAAAAGATTGATCTTTTTGCAGAAAAAGAATCTGGATTTTTAAATTAAAATTATTTTACAAAATAATACCCAGGTACAGATATCTCCGCCTGGATTTAAATAATGCACTTAGGTACTACTAGTATAACTTAAATATTGTATACTTATACCTAGGTATAGTATTTACAATACTGATATTATGAGAACGAGAGATTTACAAATTTTAAGAATAAGTACGACCGTGTAAATGATGTATATAAATATGATAGAAAACGCGAAATAATCAGTTAACGAAAATAATCAGTTAAAGTTGGATGTTATGAATACAACATATATTCTTAATTTAAATTTAATTATCTCAGATATGACCGTGCGAAACGTTCGGACATTAAACACAATCGATCTGAGACGCTAACAATATAAATATGATAAGGCGTATCGAAATATTCGGATATTCCTATATATATGAAATTAATTCAGTAAAGAACTTATTACGAAAAATATTACTTTAGCCAGGATATGAACCTAGGACTTTTCGATTTTCCGGAACGAGTGTTCTAGCCAATTCGACCATTGAGGCTTCTATAGATTATCAGTAATCGAGTTGGCTGGGACACTCGCCTCGGAAAATCGAGAGATTCCAGGTTCGTATCTTGGCTGAGGTAATATTTTTCGCAATAAGTTCTTTACAGAATTAATTTAGGGGGGATTATACTTCATATATAGAAATGTCCGAACGTTTCGGTACGGTCACACCTGAAATAATTAAATGTAAATTAAGAATATATGTTGTATTTATCCAACTTTGACTGATTATTGGCGTTCTCTACCATATTTATGATAAAATTGTTGCAAGCGGATTTACTTTTGCAAAGAATTGCAAGAGCGAATATTTATACCGAGTTTAATGTATTCACGTTAGAGATGGGCAGAGCGCCGATGTTTTTGAACTTTTTTTCTCGATGTTTTGTACCAATATTTTATCTTTTGATATTGATATATATTGACATTTGAACAGGAATATTAAACTTCCGATATGGTCCATTAAATCCGTATTAGTTTAGTAACGGATTGAGATCAGATTGAAATTTTTATTATATCATACTTATTATATGTATTGTAAGAATAAATATATAATAAAAGATTACAATTATATAAATAAATAAAAATTAATATAAAAAAAATAAAAATAAAATGTATAAGGGTATATATTATGTAATATTATATAATATATAAATATATTTGAAATAAAAAGTAAAATATAAGCTTATACATATAATATATATGTATATGTATGTATTCCAATTAATACTATCTCATATAGTACAGACCTCCAAGGAATGTTCTAAAGACATACAGCGAACGTTTGTATATCCTAAAAACATTTCCAGGATGTCTCTTGAAAGTGTGGTGTATAGGATATATATAATATCTCTATAATATATAGTACTAATTGCAATAAAATAATAACATAATTTTTTAAAAATTCTTATTGGAACAATTATTCAAAAAGATCGCTGAAATAGTCTCAAAATGATCTCCAACCGTTATTTTTGCAGAAAGATCGATATTTTACGCATCAATACGGTGTGCGTATCATATAAAAACAGAAATATCGGATTCGTGTCGATATTTACAACATCGCAAATTATCTAGCTGATATTTTGGTGTATCAATATTTCTGTTAACGTTACAATGCGATAAGAAATATCGAGATTTTTTGTATTCATCTCTAGCTCATGTTCGATTTATCCCAGCTTCAATATCCACATTTGCATAAAAATACGCGTGATTTTAAGAAGCGGAAGCGTTATAGATATCTCGCATGGAATAAGCAAAAGGTTAATGTAAATGAATAGAAAAAGATCGATGGAAATTTATTCTATATAAAGTTTATCTAATCTTTGAAATAAAAAGTTGGTGTTAAAAACATGATTATACAAAACTATCATGTATGATTAATGGTTTATTATTAGTTTTAATTGGATTTTAATTGGATACCATTAATTTACTTTATTGCGCTCAATTTACTTTACTTAACTATTTATGATTAGATGGAATAAGTGATTTTATTAGTAAAAAAGTTGATATGTGGAATGTTATGACAAATTTTATTTATGAATTCTTTATGCAATTTAGAGTATAGTTTCTTTTAATAAATATATTAATCCTTCGGTTTCACTTGTATGGTATATATTCAAGATTTCTTTTGCTTTGCGCTTTGCTGTAGAATTTTTATTAATAAAGATACTTACATTTGTTTATTACCGTTATATTTCTTAACACATTTCGTACCACGCCACCGTTTGACCTATTAAACTTTCCGTTTAGGCTGTTTGGTAATTTAGCTATAAAAAAAAACAAAATTATAAAATAATTTTTGCAATATTGATACATTACGTCCTTTTTAAATCAAAGTAATTTAATTTTTTAACATCTTTTTTAAATCAAAGTAATTTAAGTTTTCAACATGAAATATTTAATAAACGTAACAGACAAGTAAAAATAGTCATTGATAACGCACGTATTGGTCAAGTCATTTAAAATTATCTAACATAGCACGTGCGCTATAAATGTTTTTCAATTGTTATGTTTTAACATAAACATATACCAGAATGCATAAAATATAACATTATGTGTACGACTTAATTAGAACAAAATATATGCTACGCACGGTTTCGGAAAGAGTTAAGTTAATTTTTCAACACTACGCTTATGCTTTGGTATTTTGTCTAATCTATAGTAATTTAACCACAAAAACAACTTATAAACAACTTGTATAGCATGTTAGCTTTTTCCGTCTATATTGAATAAAAAAAAGCAAAAATACGATTTCCAACTTCACTCATAGATTAGTAATTTTTATATTAAGATCATTTTAAGATGTCTTATGAGCATCAGTATAATTAAATTGCTTGTCAATTTAATTTGTGATGTTACTATTTTTAGTATTGTTAAAATTGCGTTTCAAGACTGAAAATAAATTCGGGGCGCGCAGTTTGATGGATTGGATATGAGTATATTATTCATATAGAATTATTTCAACACTAAAGGTCCAGCTTGATTATTCAAAGTCTTTGTTTCCGATTTGTTATGTAGTAACATTTAACTGTCATTAGAAAAAAAACGGAAACTTACATAGCCGACTAATAGCTCTTGGACTAAATAGGGATGTGTTATGTCGATGATTACGGCAATTGGAATACAATTTGTGTTGCTGTATGTATGAAAATATTTAATTTTACAATTGGAAAGCACTCGTTGTTTTGATTTAAAAAAAATTTTATGAAATTGTTATAAATTTGTCCATTTTTATGCAATATTTTTGTACATATAGGTAGATACGTGGCGATAAAAATGATATCACAGAGAAAAAGGTTTCTTTGGATTTAGTATTCCTATTTATTTGACTAAAATTTGTTTCATTGAAACAACATATGCTTGAATGAAATATTATTTGTTTGAATAAAAATTTTGTTGTTTCATTCGAGGAACTTCTATTGCTTGACAGAAATAACATTATTATTTAAAGTAACATCTTTCAATTAAATAATATATTATTTAATTACAATTAATGAATATCAACAAATTATTTATTTGAAAATGGCAAAATATATTGATAGAAGTTGTTCCATGCAAATAATTGCTTTCTTAGAATCATTACATTTTTTGGCCGAAAATATGATAAGTGGTGACAGTGGTTATACGTCTAACAATAGGATTAAACGAGCAGAGCTTTTGCTATGTGCTATCAATTATGTTTGTGCCGTACAGTTTGATCACGCGAATACTGAAAATAGACATTATCTATTCAAACAAATAATGTATTTAAGACAAAAATATACTTACATTGTTTCAAATTCAAATAATCGCACTTATTGATTCAAACATTAGTTTGTTTGGACCATTCCGAATAACAAATTTATTTGGATACGATAAAATTTATTAAATCCGAAGAAATCTTTTTCTCTGTGATATACAGTGACACTAAAGGATTAAAATTGTAAGTTTTTTAATTATAAATGATTAAAAATTGACGATTCTTGTGCCAATTCTTCTTATAAGTAATATAGTTAACTTTTGTTCTTCGTTTGATATCAAGTAAAAATTACTTTAAGGCGCTTTTTAATTAAAGATTTAATTACAAGTTAAAAATTATGAAGTTTTGAAAAAAGGTAGTATCCAATTAAAGTTCTGTCGAAGAAAAATTAATTACAAATCCACAAATAAAGTTTGTTAGTAATATTTTATGTATATAATTAGCGAATGTAGAAATTTTTTTACAAAAAATTAACGAATTGATGCATTAAGTATACGATCTCAGAGGAACGAATTTCTCTCGATCAATTTCAATTCAAATGTGTTAAGAAGATCCTTGTACTCAAAATTATTCCTGTTGTGCTCACCTGATCGAGGATGTAGTCAGAAACGATCAACAATCCTCCCGTTTCTTCTACTAGGACAAATTTTGATCAGCTTTGTATTCATTAAAATGAAAACGCTTCTTCTTCATAGAGCGACTTTTTCGAATTGAAGCGTCCTGTGGGTTTCAAGTTCAAAGAATTATCGCATTTGAATCATGAAATCCGAATTATGTATAACGGTTTATTCTTTATTTATCAGATGACGTAGATTTAATAATTGCGTAGATTTAATAATTTTTTCCTGTTATGCAAGTAACTTGTAGTAAATTGAATGCTCTTGCATGCACGTAACGTTTGCATTCCTCTTTTATAAATTTAACATTTTCTAACTTATGTTTGTTTCTCTTTGGTCATTTTATTTTGTTTTTCCTTTGGAAATATAGTTAGTTTATAGTTCGTTAGAAATTCTTGTGAATTATTCTTGTGGGACCATAAAACCGATCGAATAGAAACCACTTTCAGATTCAATTTCAACTTTTCTAACTCAATGATAAATTGTATATATAGTACGATTAAAAAGATAATAACATCAAGGGAACTATAAATGAGAGACCTCTAAAATCAGTATGTAATCGTTTTGGTTACTTTTGCTATGAACGAAACAATTGATTTATTTAATGAATTCTTAGTGAGTTTTCAGTATATTAGATATATTGAATCGTCTCTTTATATCTCTTACGAAATTTATGTAAAAATTTTTCCAATCGAAAGTATCACACTTTTTTCTTTTCTCACACACATTTGCTCGGTTATCGATTTAAATTTTTATACAAAAAATACTTCCACAATGATTGCGAACTGTAAAGTATTTCTCAATTTCTTCCTTCTTTTTTAATATTAGAAGTAAGTCTCTCTCGTATTATAAGATAATAATTAGTCTCGGTTCTCAAAGAAGAAAGAAGAAAATACTATTCACGAGAATTTCGTTGCGGAGAGATTTATTCGTTTCTGCCGCGACAAGATCTGGGAGAGCCGAGAAATCGCGTGAAATCGCGAAGTAAAAGCTTTAGAGAGAGTGGGGAAAAGATTACCGATTTACATTAGATCGGGCCTCCGCGACAGACTAAACGTCGCGCAGCACGAAAGCCGTGTGCTAGCTGCACTTTCGATTTTGAGCTCCCTCCTTCGACACCTGCCTTCCTCCTAACAGAGGTTGTAGGCGAATAGGTATATATTCGCGTGCGTACGTGTGACCTCTCTTCCTCCCTTCTCTTGCCTCATTTGATTGTGATTACACCCGCAGTACAGACGATTGTAAGATCCGTTAGTACGATGGAGAACGGAGGAGCAGCGGGACCAAGTGGTTGCTGAAATTAAAAATGTCAAATTAGCGTGTGCGAAGCATCCTAAGCATCCTAAAATTAATATTCCACAGTTCTAATTCCAATTCATTTGGAAAAGAATTTCTTTCTTTTTATTTATCTTCTTCGTTTAGTTCTTCATTTTGAGAACATTTTTGACAAGAGGCAAGATAATTTGTCAAGTCTCTTTAAATTATAAGTAGTGTTGGCACAAAAGACAATTTTGTCATCAAAGTTCTTATAATTAGATGTAATTACAATTAGATATAATTATCCCTAGTCGAGGTATATTAAGAGAGGTTCAATTTTTTATATAGCATTTACTTTACTTATATAGAATGATTTTTTTATAAAATAAATTAATATTTTTTTGTAAAGAAATTTATCATATTTTTTGAAGAATTTATTGAAATTGGCACATTATATTGTTATGTATTTTAGCGCTCTAATTTATAACAACTTATAATAATTTATAAGCGAAATTCACAAATAAAGTAATTAACAATTCAACAATTTCAACAATAATCCAATTGATTAATACAATTATCAATAGAAGACATCAAACATTTGTAAATATCAATATAGGAATTATAACATTTATCTTTCTAATTAAAAAGCATTATCTGCTTTTGATAACAATCGGTAGATATATAATTTTTTTTCTATAAAATTCTTCTTGAATCACTATCCTTGATTGACTATCTTTTAGCATTAATATTCAAAATGGAAATATCACGGAAATAGAAATACAAGAATAATTTCTTATTAAATAATTTTTAATTTAAGATAGTTATTCTGAATGATAGTTATTCTGAATGATTGATTACTTTTTCTAAAAGACAGTATTCAAATGTATTCCTAATTACTATATGGATTTAAGATTGATTAATTATATGATGACAATACTAATATACTGCGAAATGATAATGATATGCCGCTGCATGTGACGTAGATATTGTATTATTCTCTACAAATTGAAATTGTGTCTGCAATCTATTCTAGGAAATATTTTTGCATTATTTCTAACAATGCCAATGAAAAAAATCGATCGCAGACGAATTTCATTAACTATTTTTATATCTCCATTACTCCTTATTTCACTATTTCTCTTTTATCTTCACATATAATCTTACGTATGATCGTTATCTCAAGTAATTTAATGCTTGGATTTATTTATATTCATCAGAGATTGCACGTGTATATACATATATATGTACATACCTATATAAAGAATTTATTTTAATGAAATCAATTGTGCTCCAATTTATTAATTTCACCATGGCATCATTTTTCGGTTTATTATTGCAAGTGGAATGTGAACTCGGCAAAATCGCTTCTGTTCGAATATTTGTTTACAATATCGTTATATACGATGCAATATATTTTTAAAGGATACATAAGAAATAAATTATTTTACAGAAGTTTACTTGACTGATGCATTAAAACAAAATTTCTCGCGAATGTATGTTCTAACAAAATAAGAAATCAAATGTCAAAAATTATGTTAAGCACTGGTTATTATCATAATCATAGATTTCGCTGCTAACTGTCATCGATCTGTCTTTTCTTTTAACTCTTATTTGTTCGTAGCAATGCGATTAATGTCTGTTTTACTATGCGAGATAGCGACAGCATTTAATAAAGATAATGTGAAATTTGCACCTAATACATTTGCACATCTTAAAAGTGCAATTTGTTTGGATTGTTTTACTTGTGTTTATCAAGTTGTATAGCTATTATGAATATTAGTATTATACATATATCAGATTACTTTACAATACCATATCATAATATTACAAATATTAATGATTAGGTAATTGTAAAAATTAAAACTGAATTTCTAGTGATATTTTATTTATCACATTTTAATACATTTTTAGATGATATTGTTATTATATTAGCTAATTAAACTGAGAGCTGAGACAATTTTCAACATATGTTTTTAATGTTGTATACATTTGCATAAACTTTGCGATCTCGGCATATGTGATTTTTTTTTATTTAAATATATAAATAATTCGTCTAAATATAGATAGTTAAGGAGATTGCAATCACTGTTGCAGTCGACAAAGTAGGACGGTACTTGTCATTACGTTGAAAATACTTAGAAAATTCATTGCATCAACTCTAAAGCGTAATGATACCAAGAAACATGTTAGCGACTGTTTCAAAATATAATTATTCAATTAGAGGGTGCAACTAATCAGAAGAGGAAAGTTAGCTTTGAGTGAAGATTTTAAGCGAATATAAATTGCACAATTCTTCGTATTACAGCAAATTTTCTTTCCTTTTATATAATTTACAATGCATGATAGCGGGAATACTGTCAAAAAGATCTCAAATTATTCGATGTCAATTGATCATTTCCGATAAAGATCAGCTGATAATTAATATGACGAGGCATAAATATAATATATGAGACGAAATGGGTGTATATTAAATATAGCAGCTTTTATTAAGAACAATATACTCTGCTCTGCACTGTGCATACAATCTCGTTAATTAATCAAATAAATAGAAAAGTCACATATATTTAATTATTCGAGCCAACTGTTTCATTGCGAATACATTTTGTTATACAGAATGCCCAACAAATTGCTAGAAAATTGTGACGATAATGTTTTAATCGCGACGAATCCTTAAAAGCTTGATCCTTAATCAGCATTATAGTCAGAATATTATAGTCAAATATTCTTATCATTTTTTTTCAGGAGTTATGCAATCAATTAATTAAATTAATCGTATATTCTTACTTTCTCTCCGATTATGTCACAATATTTATCAGATATACAAATTACTCTCTTTTCTTATTTTATTTTCTATTAGTACATTCGATGTTTCGACACGCAATGTTTCGTGATGTAAAAAATTGCGTAGGAAAAATATATGTATTCGCTACAATCGCTACCTTTCTCTTTCTTTGATGGCTTAATTATCAATGATCGTCATCAAACTCGATAATATTTTGCATCAAAAACTAAAATAATGATTGATAAAAAAAAGCGCACACATTCAGAATAAAATAGTTAACTCACGAAAAATGGCGTGTAGGTATAGTTCAACTTTAGAAGTGATAATTGCGCACACAGTTTATTGAGATTAGAAAAATTACTCCGTAAAAATAAGTTTTAGTTACAGATTTTTTTTCTTAAAAAGTTATGAGTTACCGATTTTGAAAAGGGTAAAGACTATAGCATACAAAAATATTTAAGCAATAAGACGCGAAGCAATAAACCAATCTTTATTTTCGATTCGTTACTGCTTATAATATTGCCTTGTGTTTTTATCATGTGATTTGCCGATTCGTTTATTACTTATATCTTACTGTTTTACATTGCTTGTTTGCCATAGATTTAACACGTTACAGTTATAGTAATATTTAAAAAATAAAGAACCATTACTTTTCAATTATTTTTGTTAATTTTTTATAATTTTTTGCATTGCTATTTTAAATACAAAAATCTTATATATTTTTAACATGAATAAATTTTTGTAATTACTTATTACAATTATACTAAATAATTTGGTCGTGTACGCTGTATTATTCATAAACAATGTACATTCTTGAATAAAAATTATGAATGAATATTAAGATGCATTCACATATTAAAAGGCTTCTAGTAATTCTTAATACAAAATTTATAGAGTATAATAATTTTTCAGAGATAAAGAAATGTATTTTAATCACAAAAAATAGTCACTGATTATTTACTGAGTACTTGTTTTAATTACTTTATATATTGCTGAATAAATTTGAAATATATATATATAAAATAACTATAAAAGTAACTATTCAATTAGTTTTTACAAAAAAAAATGTAAGGCTACGTTCTGATATTCAATGTTAGTATTGAAAAACTAATATATTGGGTCATTTAAAAAGTATCCGCGGTTTTTTCATTCAAAAATTGAACAAAAAACCGCGGATACTTTTTAAATGACCTACGTTACGTGCATTATAGATTTTCAACAACTGGCAATGAATATCAATACACATTTTAAAGTTATGTCGAAATTATAGCTAAAAAAAAAAAGGAATAAAGTTGTTGTAAGAAAAGTAACTGCAACTGTAACTACTACGAGTTACTTTCCTGCAATTTATAAATTCCAATTTTTAAATATAGCATTGTATAAAGATTGTAGAAAAAAAATACGTTATATTTTTACTCGACACGCCAAAATTCCTGAGTTAATTTTTATTATTTGCGACATATTCCACTTATTTAATAAGTTAATTTTCATTCCACATTCTAAACAAGAATTCATTACATTCTTCGAAATCATCAACAGGTCCGCTCATTCACAAAAAATAAAATAACGAATAACAAACTGAAACAACATACATAGTACATTTCTTCTCAAAAATCTATATCCCTTTATGTAACATTATACGCTTAAAAAACATCAGTGCAGCTGCCATATTAAGTAAAAAGCAAGTAAAGAAGCATATCTTCCTTATTATATTGTGTGTCATTGATTTAGATACAACTATTACTACAGTATAAATATAATCCGGATAAAATGAAAGCACACTTTGTTCAAAGAGATACCGTTGTAAAAAATTCCTTTTAAAACTAAATAAATTGAAATGTTATTTGATACGATGATTATAAATGGACATCAATTAATTGAAATAATTAGATCGGTGAAATATGTTTACAAATAATATACATAATCAATATATGCAGAATAACTCGTTTAATTATATGTCAATTTTCAAGAAGTGATTTCAAGAAGTTTTAGAATTCAAATTAAAAAAAGTAACATGAATGTAATTTATTTCTAATATATGTAAAATTAAATAAAATATGACATATAATTAATTGTAAGAATTATTCTACATTCAACTTTATCCGTGAAATGAATTAATTCTAAGTCATAACACAACCGACAGGTCTAAAAATATCATCATAGCTAGAATCTCTCTCTAAATTTTTAGTTATCTGGGTACACACATTAAATTATTTTCAATTAATAGTAATGACAAATACTTAGTATTTGAAGTAATTTGTTATGCTATTAGATAAATAAGACGCGTATTGCAGTGTCCTAATTAAATAGAAATTAAATTATTTTTAGGTCTATTTTACTTGTAATATATTAGGTGTTGGAATTAATTCGTAGCGTTTTTAATGCAAGAATGTTATTTATTTCACATGAGCATTAAAAAATACATTAATGAAAGTACTTCCCATCACTTGTAAAACGCTACGAATTAATTCCAACACCTAATATATTGTGTAATAAAGAACAAAAATATTTTTTTTCGTATTTATCTACGTTTCTATTTCGCTCTTTCTCTCGATATGAAACTGACGGATACGATAAAGGCACTTTTAAAACCTGATGTACACAATGTCAATACATTTTCATCTACATATAAATTTACATAAAAACTCATAGGTAATCATTTTGGAAATGTTACAATTTTAATCATTTAACTTTATATTTGATAATTCTAAAAATTAGAATAATTTTTAAACAATTTTTCATAATTTTGTAATTAGTATTCATTTGTTAAAGATAAATATTCAAAATCATTTACAATGTCATCATTACAATGTCCTGTAGCAGATGCACAATATTATCATTTTAATTATCTTAATAGTTGTTGAACTCTTTGTGGATCATAACTGTCTTTCACTTTTATATTAAAAAAATAATATCGGTTTTACAAATGCATGTATATTATCACGATATTACTTATAATAACAAGATTAAAAATATTTAAATAAAATATTAAGCGGTTTTATTATATATTACATAACAAAAGCTAAGAGATGATCCAAAATAAAGCACAGCCACTATGCATGTTATAAAACATTAAATAAACGCACATTAAAATTATTTCATTCGTAATTAGAAGATCAGTTAAGAAAATTCTAAATCATCTTTAAAAAATTAAATTAAATTTTAAAAAATTCTGAATAGAGCGTACCGTTATTATGTTACTATACAATCTTTATTTCTTCAAACTTTTCAATTGGTGTTTAATGTCACTAATATCGATGATTTAAAAATTGAAGATGTGACTATTCGTGTATATAACGTTCCGTTGAATAAAAAATATATTCCCGTGAATACATATATTGTAACATAAACTTACATCGAAAATATATATCACTCTTTAGAATATACACGCAATATTATATTGTATAAAAATCTATAATTTCTAACATCTAATTTAATAACATAAATCATTTAAAATAATAAGATGCTAAGATAAAGAAAAATGGCTATGTACACGCGCATATAAGAACTTAATCCAGCTTATCAGAGACCAATGGAAATCTGACTATTCTCAGTTGTCGACCATAGTCACAGACAACGCTGTCCCTCAATGCCAGCATTTGCTTTACGAAAATGCAGCTGTCTTTATGACCCAGTCTCACTTCTCGCACTGGCTCACCCGTTCTTACATCCCAGACTACTAATGATCCCTGAAATATTAATATTCAATTTCGAGATTGAGATTTATTTTCGTAATTTGGATAAAAAAAAAGATCTAAATACAATTTTGTGTGTGTGTGTGTGTGTGTGTGTGTGTGTGTGTGTGTATTGATATACATACCTGGTTGCTAGTTATGAGGAGATGATGCGTTAACATCACCAATTGTAAGCTGTAAGCTGCTTTATGTGCTGGCAAAGTGTGTAGTAAGTGTCCTTGAAAGCGTTCCCAGACACAAAGTCTTTCATCTGTTCCGATACTTATCACATAGGACACTGAACATGTAATAGCGGCTACAGCACCATCGTGGGCTTGAATACTATACATGCATGCTCCTGTAAAAATATTATATAAAAGCATTAGATTAGAAGAGATAACAGGTTATAATAAATTACATATTCATTGAGATAAAGATGTTACCTGTCAAAAGATCCCACACACACAGTAATCCATCTTGAGACCCACTACCGGATGTCATGGGACTTATTCTATCAATAAAGAGGCACGATATCGGACCGCAATGCCCATGAAGTGTATACAGAGGTAACTGATCCTCTAACCTAGATAATATAAGAAAGATATACAGATATACATAAATAATTTTTAGAAAAAGTAAATTGAATTGTATTAAATTGTGTGTACCTGTATACTTTCAAGGTGTGATCTTGGCTGCCTGTTAATACACGTCCACCTTCGCTATCTAAAACAGTGATCGCTTGTTGATGTGCTCTATGAGAGCCAATTTTCATGCAGCGCAAATCTTCCTCTGTTTGCATATAGTTATTTAGATCCATGGGCGAACCAGCACTTCCCGTTCGCACATGCGCTAAAATAGCAGATCAATTAAACATAGATTTAGCTCAATAAAGAAATAAATTTGTTATTTACAGGTATAATACAACACAATGCGTTGTAAACATAAACGCTGAAATGTAGAAATCAGAGAAATCATTTCTACTAATGTAGAAATAAACTCTGATATTATTTGAAAGATCATTTACTTCTTCTGTAAGATGTGAAGCCCCAATCAATCTGCTGGCCTTCGCTGTAGCTTTCAAGTTGCAGAAAGTCCACAGCACCATTCAATTTAGCTGCCACTACTCTGCTACCAACGAGTCTAACGGCAGAGATTCCAAGTGCTGATCCATCATCGAAGAGACACTAAGAAAGAACAGAATTATTTAATTAATTTACATTTGTCAAAATAATATTTTCACTCAAATTATTCGTATTTCACCTTGAATCTACCGGTCGTGCCCTCCCAGAATTCTAGACTGCCATTAGCGCACCCTACTACTATAAGATTTTCCTGATAATCCATACACCAAATCGCCGCTATAATGGGCGACGATTGTATTGTGCGATCAGTATTTATGGAGGATGTGCTGCCAACTAAATTGTTCGATCTTGCGGGAAAAACACCTAATTGTTCCCTGATTTTAGATTTTTGCATCTCCTCGATTGACTTATTGTGTTCATCGAATAAGATTTTATATCGCTCCCCGAAGTCATAGCCTTGATCATAATTTTTTTGCGAGGGTGTATATTTTATAGTTGAGAATTTGATGTTTATCGCCGGTTTTAGATCGGGAAGATCGTAGGCACTGCCTAAGCTTCGACGTAATAGTTTCTGCTTATTGTCGCTATTGAGTTCATTGAGTTGATAATCGTAATCTAACATATTTCCTATAGATCGTCTTTTATGATCATTGTTATTGTTACTATTAACTCTTCGCATATTGTAAGCGGGAGATAACTTTCCCTGACACATTGCCGAGGCCGGTGAATAAAGTCCCATCGATTGTGCCACTTCCATTTCACCTCGGGAAGGTGGCGAACCGCTTTCGTAATCTGACATCAGCTCGTCGGCATCTGGCGACGCTTGACTCAGCGTTTTCTGCGGACCGCTGAAAAATTGTCGTCTATCGATATGCGCCAATTGCTCGCCAGACGTCGAATCCCATATTCTGATATGTCCCGCTAAACATGTGCTAGCAACGGTATTACCGTCCGTCGCGATGCATTCTACTTCCTGAGTATGTCCTTCCAAGACCAGAGGCACAGCTTCCAGCACTAATTGAGTAACGTAATCGTGCGTCTTTTCTTGCTGGTGCCAACTGGCTCGCCACTCCGCGTAATTTCTCGTGCAGATACAACGGTATAACACGACCATTGTATAAGCAACCACGATTACGCTAATAAGACACAGCAGAGCAGCTAGAAATATCTCCATCGGACTCGACGGTACAAAAGGCGTGTCCGTATTAAATACACGTCCTTCTGATCTCGATGGTACTTCCATATCTAAAAACAAAAAAAAAGTGTAAAAAAAGTTGAAGACTCAATAATTAACTTTTTGTAATTTTTCATTGAAAACTCAAACCTGAAAAATCTAAAGGATCAAGCGCAGCGGTAGCGAGACTCTGCCACTGGAAGTGTTGAACATCATTTGGATTGCTAATTTGTTTTGCTAATTGCGGGCTCACTGCATATGATAATTTTATAGTCGGTAGTATAGTCACTCGTCCACCGGCAACCGACACATTATACATTGAAAGAATCGAAGACCAATGATACAGTGATAAACTATTCCAAGGCGGAAAATCCATAGGTCTTAGCTTATTTAATTCCTCTGTTGTATCATTAGTTAGACTCTAAAAAAATACATTTTTTTTTAATATAGACTTAAAAAAGTATGAGCATATTGTCTATTTGAAAATAAAATGAAAATTTACCTGTTCATTTAATTTATTTGGGGCTACAGTTGCAGGCGATATAGAAATAGGTGTTACCGTATTTAGCTTAACATAATCGTTTAATGATGGAGGCTTGTCTACTGTATAACCATCAATGTCAGTTTCTGGCTTTAGCGTCTCGCTAAGATGTATTATGTGCTCGATGATACCAGAATTGTTAATAGCCATGCTAATCCACACAACCATTCCTACCATAAATGCACGCTGGAAGATTCGTGTTCGCGCCCATAAATACACCAATCTTAAACGCTTGGGGATCTTGGTCAGTGTATGAGTATTTTGTGTATTCGGAGCAATAACGTTCGTCGGACCGGTAGACAGACCGTTCAATCTCGGATGAGACTTAGAGCGGAATATATGAGGTTTCCTATTGGTAATAGTAGTGGTAAATTGTTGTCTGCGTGATGTTTGAATGTGCGACAAGTGAAATTTGGAATTCTCGCTGGATAATTCTGTTCGTCTGATATCGATCGCCAGAATCGTCGAGAAGAATACCATTTGTAGGAAAAAGTCATTCAATAATCCGACAATGGCGAATATACAAAATTCCTGGATAGCAGGTACGAAAGTAAATAAACCAATAGTTAGGATCGTCACTTCTGTGAGAAGATTTTTCGTAATAGACCATCCTTCTTTAGATAAAGCCTGAGCGACACGTATCTTTACATCCAATTGGGCTGGCGTGCTAACGACACTCTTAGTCAACACTTGAATGTTCTCGAGGCCAAAGATAATCACCAAGTACGGAAACACTTCCTTGGCACTCATGCTCAGTGTTAGACCGAAGAAAAAGCACACACCTACAGTCATTGATAGCGAGCCCATCACTGTTACGCTGGCACTGAATGCAATGCCAATTTTAGACTTTACCAGTTCTATTTTCCGCACTTGGAAGTATTCGTAAAAAAATAAGGCTAGGGAAGTCATCATTAACGGGAAGAATTCACTGTAATTGAACTCGCCAGGATAAAAAATATTTAATACTTCATTACGCGCATCAACGTCCGTGCTATTGTCAACGGTTTGATGCAGCTGATAATACGTTCGCAGACGATGCTGCAATCCTTTTATGAATCTATAAGCAAATAAAATATATGTTATTATAATTATATTAATAACAAATTAAAAGTGATTTATGTAAATACTTACTCCTGATCATATTTCTTTAAATAAATGGTCACGGCATATTGGAGAATTCTCTGGCGAACTCGAGCAGGATATCGTTTCACTCCTGTTTCCTTTAAACTCATCCCAAACATCACTTCTGCAAGACTTATCTTACCTCTTTGAAAATTCTGTAATAGTAACGATACATACAAATTAACTAACTAACTTTTTGTACAATAAAGATAGAAACTAAGTTAATATAGAAACTAAGCCAAATAAAAGCTTTATCTATTTGCGGTAAATAACAACTAGCAATTACATATGAGACTATATTACTACTACTACTACTACTTCATACAAAACAATTATGGTTTCATGAATATATATTTACCTGATATGAAAATATAGTGTTAATAAGATTTGTGTCTTGAGAAAATAACTCTATACTTTGTTGCCAGAGATTTGCAGGTGATAGAACAAGACAGTTGTATTCCGGCAAAACCTCAGCCTTCTTGCCATTTCTTTTTTTCACTGCTTCAATGTGCAAGCATACTTGGCCAAGTGTTTTTAATCTAAAAATCAAATCAGATGAGATTCTTATTCTAAGAGAAAAATACCTTCCAATATCAATCATTTTTTAACTTTAAAAAAAGTAGCATTTTTTATAAATCTTGAACTATATAAAATAATCTTTGAGTGTCTTAAAAAAAAAGTTGGACACGTAATTCTTTTTCAAATGTTAGAAGTACATATCATGGGTGTTTTTAAAAAAGCACAGATAACACAGTGCAACACAGCGAATTATTCCTTGTTTGTCAATGTTATATATAAATAAAGAAATTATTGACTATATTGTAGCAAAACATCAATGAAACTGCTGTTACAAAGTCTATCAATAATAAAAACTGTTATCACACAAAATAATTAACTAGCGCAGAGATCGGAATAAGATTACTCATACAATATACAAAAAATCCAGAGTTGAAAAGCGTTATTTCTTCCGTTATTTTTTATGATAAACAATTTGATAATGACGTTGCAATTTTTTATAACTAAACGCTAAGGTTGTGAAAAGATTAGAAAAGTCAATTTGTCCAACCTTGGCACCTTAATATTTAATTATAAAAAATTGCAATGTTATGTTTATTATAAAAAATAATGGAAAAAGTAATGCTTCCTGAAAAAAATCTCATAGACACATAGTATCTGTAGATCTGTTTTCTATAGTTTTTTGTACTAGTATATACTTTTGCAACTTAAAGTAAAATAAATATATTTGGCAAAAGCAAGAAAGAAAATTCTAGAGTAGACTAGCCCAGAAATAAAAAAGACCTTTTGACTTTGCTGAAAAGTATCTTTTGATTAATATCTTATTTGCTATCTCATATGAACTATATCAATATCAATTAGAATAATTAGATGGATCACTCACGTTTCTGGATGCTGATAGTTTTGTATGATTTCCAAGAGATTGAATACTTCATATAAAGGTCCTCTGAAGGCATCCATCAGCGTCAGGTCTTCGCTCCATGGCATCACTCCGATCCTTAGTACCACTTGTTGGACATACAGTACCGAGGTCTCCGTGTCGTTTACTGGTAAGACAGTATCGTTGATTAGGATTTTCGGGGCATTACCCGGCATAGGCAGATTGACAAGTGGACAGCTGCAACAACCAAATAAACCCTTAATGAAGATCTCTTCCAGGATTGAAGTCATTCAAGTATTGATAAATAATACAATAATCAGGGAAAAGGGGAATGACTCACCAGCATAATAAAAGAACCGATATCGCGAGGGAGAGGACGATGACGGGATGAGAGGAGCAGAATAGGCCGTGGGCATAATAGAGCCCAGCCACTCTGTCTGGTAGACTGCGAGACATTTCACCTATGTGTGCGGTCCATGCGACATTCTCAGTTTGCAGGCTGTCGTGTCGCCCGTAACTGACCTAGCAACACCCAATAGCCATCCAATAATATTGATACGGTAAACGTGACACATGATACTGCAAACGGCGTAGTGAATAGATAGGTTAAAAGGAACAAAAAGGCTCGTGTTTTCCAATCGATTATCGCCGTTATTACGCAATCAGCTGTAAAAATGCGTGTATGAGTAGATATTTAATAAGCATGCGGCGCCGTTTTCAATAGCGATAACGAAGCCTGATCGGGCTAACGTCGTTCTCCAACGAGGCGTTCTCCAATTCGTCACGTTTTCTTTACACTCGGCTCTCGACTTACAGCATCCTTTAACCATTCCGCTTCATCACATGATGCAACGCTCCGTCCAGGAAAAGAAGACTCGAGGACACTCGGACTATCGATCTCCCGTGGGAACGCTCCACGACGTCTTCGACGACGACGGTGCGCAGTTTGATCCCTCTTTTGGTCTCGTGCTTCGTACGGACGTGACTGGCGCAAAACCAGACTGAGGACTATGAGGAGTGAGTAGAGTAAATAACGGCGCGATAAAAAAAGAGCAAGACGAAGCGTTGGAATAAAAAGGAAATAATTATGCTGCTGAGCGTGTACGATGCACGCGGGCGGCGGGTTACGATCGATTTAGAGGTTATGTTCGTCGTTAGTTTTTGCGGCGCATTAGAATCACGGTGACGGCGGGGGAAAGATGGAAAGCGTTCGCTTCTTGGGAATCGATTTCACGTCGCGATTACTGCGCCCGCACGTGCTGTGGATGCGCGCGTCACGTCATCGCTCGCGTAACTCGCTCGAGCGATAGCGAGCGAGCGGCAAAAATCCCGGCGAAAAGGAACGCGCGTCGCCTACGTGATTACAACGTGCGACGACGATGACCAACGGTGACGATGTTGCGACGCTTCCTCCGCTCTTCTACATTTCTCGCGCGTGATAAGACCTGCTTTGTAGACCCCCCGGCTTCGAATCGCTTCGAATGATCCAAAATGAGCACGGCGTGGTTTAATGCACGCTGATACACGCGCGAAAGTGAGAGCGTTAATTTATTTTTAAATCGAGTCCCGAGAGCGAGACGAAGGGGGTCCAACTCGGATCGAGCCTCCGCCGCGCGGCCAATCGCCAGGTGCGTCGCCGAATACACACGTGGCCGTGAAAGGGTGGAAAGGGAAGAGAGAAAGCAAGCTCTGCGTGACGCGTGCGATTTGCGCTTCTAAAGAGAAGGTAACGCCTGGTAACGCTCGCCAGACGATGTCCGTAGCGTAACTGACCGTGTCTGCGCGCCTGGAATGCCTGGATTGTGCATGCAAGCCGCGCAGTTAACTAATCCATGATTCGATTGCATGCATAAACGAAGAGGCCTTCACGGAGTCTACGGGAATGCCTAAAAAAAAAGGGGGAAAAAAGTTTACGCGTCTGCATAATGCAGAGGAATGGAAAATTCAGGAATTTGGCACTGATATGTCCAGCATTGCTACCAATGTATACAGGGTGATCCGAAATTCACGAATTCAGAGTACAGGACATGATACTTTATGTTAAAAAAAAAACAGCTGTTTCCTTTTGCAAAATTGCGTCTAACAAGTAGTTTTTGTAGGAAAGCAGGTTGAAGTTATATGAATAAACGCAAAAATTATTTATCGGATGCAGTTTTACTAGAGAAAAAAAATTGTTTGTTTTAACATTAAGTATCATGTCCTGTATTCCGTATTCATGAATTTCTATGAATTTTTTAAATGTCTATACATGTTTATACATCTCTCTCTTTCTTTTATAAAATTATTTTTTAATGTAATAGAAATAATAATAGTAATGTGAACACATAAAAAATAATTAAAAGGATAATTTTCGCATTGTTCGTTTTAGAATAAAAACAAGTAGGAAAATGTAAAAAAAATTGCTCATATACAATTATACACAATAATTTTATATATAATTATATAGAATAATAATTATATAGAATATAAATTTGTTTACATTTCTTCAAACTTGATTTTTTTCTAAAATAAATGGTGTGAAAATTATCCTTTTAATTATTTTTAATGTTTTCACTTACTATTATTCCTATTACACTAAAAAATAATTTTACAAAAGAAAAAGAGATATATGAACATGTATGGACATATTTCATATATGATTATACATATTTATACATATTCATATATGAAAAATTTTTTTATCGAGAATTCTTGGAACGCTAATGCCGGATAAAATTAATTTTTATCTTGGTTTCAGGCTCTACATATAAAGGAGGCAATATTAAGAATAGAAATAAATATTAAATATTAGAGAAATAAAAAAATTAGAAATAGAGAAATTAAACGTAACAAATGGGTACAATAAGATATAAGACATTATTATATTATATCTTATTTGTATCCATTGTACATTATATTTAATTCATAATTTTAATTTTTTTATTTTTCTAATTATGTATTCCTGTTTCTAATACTTTTTTTTATTGTGCGCAGCACAACTCTTGACTTACTTTTTATCGTCTTCTAATTTAAGAACAAGGCGAAGTTAAATAAGTAAATTAGACCGAGATATTTAATCTACATTGGTAGAAATGAGCCACAGACAGATAAATAGAGAGAGAAGAGAAAATGGAGAGACTTCTTTCTTGAGAGATTAAGTAAAAAGAACTGCTAGAATTAAAAAGAATTAAAAAGAATTCTTATAACAGAAATTCAGAAGGAATGATGAAACTCTTGTATGAATTTCAATGATATTTGTGAATATCGAGAATTTCTTGGTGAAGCTCAGGATGCTGTAGAACGAGACATTAAAGGAGTTAAATCACGAAAGGCTTTTGTGATAATTGACAATGATAATTCATAAGAGTTAAATAACATATAAATTACAATAAGATCTTTTGGATGTAGCTTTTAATGACTGTAAAATAATGCAAAATCGGAGTGCGTAACTTCTTTTTAGAATTGTTAAAAGTTTAGAATTGTTCTATTCTTTTTCTTCGTTATCTATTCATGAGATTTCATCGCATGCATAACCAACTGTGAATACTATATACGAATAAAGCTTAATTTTTCGAAGATGAAAGATCTTCACAAACAGATTTCGAAATGCAAAGAGATTTCGAGTTACAGACAGATCAAGCTACGAAAAAAATTTGTGTGAGTTAAATATTAGAATTAATGTTTAACGAAAAAAACATCACGAGTATCATATATTTTAAAAATTTGTGATACACATGTTTATATTACATTCACTTACACATTCGTTTATATTATTTATTTATATTACAGTTCATAAATTAAATTGTTTGTGAATTTTACTTCTTCTTTAACATTAGAAATACCGACATTTTTCATTCTACATTAAAAAAACCAAGCAAATAAATTACTATGAAAATAATGAAAGTGATGAAAAATAAAATATTTTATGAATATATAACGAATTATTGATAATTAAAAAAAAATTCAGAATCTTATCTTTTATATAAGAAATATAATAGTAATCTGGAAAATAGGATCTAAAAAAATAAAAAAAAAAAAGAAAACGATGACCGTTCGATATTTCTATATTTATAAAATTATTTCTTCCTGTTTGCTTTTTAAATTAAACTTTTTAAATTGAAAAAAGAAACTCGGAAATTCGTCAATGTCGCAGTTATCAATCGGAGACCGAACATCTCGACATTTTTTCCTAATCTTTTTGTCGTTTCGATTAATTATCTACATATGTGGAGGTCACGCACGAGGTCACTTTAATACGTAGTTAACACCGCGCGTCGTTAATAATTCGACTCGTTCCATATATATATATATATATCTTCTTGTTCGATTGACTTTAGCGAGCTCAACTTCGTGCGGCTCGCGGTCGACCGTCCTGTGCGCCTATTATCCCGCGATTGACATGTTTAATTGCATCAATTGCGTAATAAATGGAAATTAGGCTGCTGTAAATGGTCAGTATCGTTCAGGGGTCAATCGTCTACAAACGTGTGGGCTTGCGGCGATGCGTGTGAGACGCGCTCTGCGAACGAATTCGTTGAGAGTTTCGGAAAAAAGAAACTGAACATTACGCGTTGTTACGTCGCAATTTTAGTTTTAACGTGAGCTCGGTGTTATTAATCGGCATTATCGGCGACCGTGATATCGTCCCATTTGCGTTTTCCCCGTACAACGTGCAGTTTTCCGATTCTCTTTCTCTTTCCCAGCTTTTTCGTTGTTCAACTTTTACTTCTTTTATTTTTCATTATTAAATAGATGCGAACAATGGTGGATACGTTTCGTGCAGATGTAAAGAGCGTTTTTTTATGGTTTTAGGATTTTTCGAAAAATTTTGAAATATTAATATACTTGATTTTTTATTTTAAATAAAAAAATTCTGTGGATACTAAGGTTGTATATGAGCTTTGACCTTATCTTATAAAATCTAAATATTTTATAAAAGGTAATTCACAGGTATTTTTTTTTTAAATTTTAAGAATGCTTTTAGACATTTTTTTGATAAGGTTTTAAAGTTTTTTCCTAAAAAGACACATATCTGTTTCATACATCTACTATCTATTTTAGCTTTTAATAGTCGAGTTGACATATTTACAAAAACGCAAAAGTGCGCAAGAACACACAATCCGTATACATTAGCATAATTAACATAAAATGCTATAGACGATGAAGGTAAATATAGATGTTATGTTTGAGTTTTTGTTAACACAGTATTAATAAAAAGTACTTTGAATGAGATTCACAAGGCCTTGACCATTGAATCCTTATGTGTAATGACTGGTATACAAATACAACCGCAGAATGTTTCTCGATATTTTCTTATTAGCATTGTGATAAATCTTTTTTCTTCATCTTGGACATTTACCTTTGCCATTCGAAAATAAATAAAAATAAAGAAAGATAATAATTACAAACAGATTTTAGGAGAAGGCAGAGAAATGTCGAAATGAATTCCATGTTTTTAAAATTTAGATATAAAGTATTTGTATATATGAATGATAAATATAAAAAAATGTGTTGCCGATATAAAATTTCTAGTTAATAATTATTAAATAGTTATTGAAGTATGATTACTGAAAATAATACCGCTCATTGATATACATATGTATTGGTTTTTGACGATCGCTATTAGGTGTACGTGTTGTTGTTCGAGAATTTCATACAGAATATTTCAACAAATTTATAATTAAATAATAGTAAAGCATTATTCTTTATTAAATTAAAAAATGACTTTTTAATCTTGAGACAGCGATCTAATTAGACATTTATTTGACATTATACGTTACTTAATAATATTGTAATTCTAATTTTTAATTATATATCTCAAGAGCAGAACAAATTAATAATTAAATTTTGTTCTGAATTTAATTCTCCGTACATTTTACATTAACTGAGTTCTAATGTGAGAGTTATTACGATATTTTGTACTTGAAAATTCAAATCCGTGAGAGAGATGTCGTCCAATTTAACATGAAAAGTTCGAAGAAAATTCAAATATTCTTTTTAATAAAAGTTTTTTTTTTTTAAAGAGTTAAATCATAAAT